ATGGATGCAAATGCAGGCAAACTAGATAATTGAGCCATTCACAGCTTATCTGGGAAAATATATGGAAAACATCTTGACTGAAAGCATGTAGTGCTATCACTTCCATGCAATCTACTGTTTGACTGCAGTGTGCTTCAGCATACTTCCCTGGTGCCTAAAATACTTTTCAGTGGCAGTTTGTGCCCACAATCACAAACCCTGCAAAGAGCCTTGTAAGCAGTGATTGTAATACTAAAATACTAGTGGAAAAACGACTAGAATAATAGCTTCCACAATTTTGTCAACTTAATACAAAACTACTTGTACGGTGGTCACTCGTTCCACGGCTCTCATTACACTAGGGCTCACTGTAAGAAAATATCACGGCAGTGCATTACATGGTTCCGTCTCCCATCGGTCTGTCTCCGTCCCGCACAAACAGGGACCTACAATATCCGCAAGAGCACCCCGTATCTCGCGTACATAACCCGGCCCTTACCACGCGAACCTTTGCGCTCTCCACGCGTCTCACCGGCTTAGGCCTTTGCTTGGGGATTGGTCTATTTCGACGCGTTTGTTCACATAATAGCGCAGGTGTGAATACAACAATGGAGCGTGGTTTAAAGTAACGGTCGGTAATTTAAGCAGCATTCTTCATCCTGGAATAAATCAGCCTGAATATTTTCGATGGTAAAAGGCCAAAAAACGTTACGTCATATATTTATAACAGCTATAATCTTACCACTGATTTATGACTATTTCAAAGGTCAACTATATCAATGACGTCATATGCTCTTGCCTATTGCTCCGTAATATGGCGTAAAGACTTCTGAACACTTTTTGACGTATAATTTAATGCATGTTGAAGCTGCCAGTGCGCCCTAGGGCCTCACAAGTTTTTGACCTTAGAAGCTTCCATACCATCCACAACCACAACTACCGAAGCAGGAATGCACATCATACACCACATTTACATTTCCGGAACGGCATAAAAACCACGCCTTTAGCCATGTTAGCATTATTATCTTGGGTACATTTGACATTGTCGACTCTTATGGCGGTAAGATCGTATAACATCGCATACTACAAAGGACGTGTTTAAACTGTAAGAAATCTTGTTCGTTTTTTAACGTTCCTGTTGTTGGGCAGGCAAGGTTTCACGGCCGCCTTAGCTCAGTGGTAGAGCACTGGTCTCGTAAACCAGGGGTCGTGAGTTCGAACCTCACAGGCGGCAACGTTTTCTGAATCCAGTTCGTCGTTTACATGGATCTGTATCATGTAATAGCAGCACCCTCCCAACAAAGACGCCGCGTTGTAGCATGTCCGCTCAGCCGGGCACATTGTTCAGCATCATTGATATCACAGGTGAGTGCTTTAGTTTGGACTACGCGGAAGGTTGGTTTGGTGTCACTCTGGCCTGATGTGCGCCGGGCGCTGCTAGCGCCACGGCGCAGCGGCTAGCGCCAAGAGCGAGAGTCAGTGATATATCCGCGTACGCGCCCGACATACCTCCGTGTAATATACATTGAAACCGAACATGGCGCGGTCGGAACATGACGACCTGATCACGCGCCATAGATGCCGGCCATAGTGCGTGCCAGGTGTTTCCGCGCGCTGGACGGGTTCGCGCGCCTGATCGCGCTGCACAGCAGCGAGTCGCCGCACGCCGTCTCCAAAATCAACCCGCTCAACAAGGTGCTCGGCATTGTGACGGTGGTGCTGCTGCAGGGTCACGAGGTGCGCTAGACCGAGTTCCAGCAGCTGCCCTACCACCGGATCTTCATCACGCTGCTGCTAGAGCTCAACGCACCGAAGACGGTCCTGGAAGCCATTAACTTCCAGGTGCTGACGGCATTCTGCAACGTGCTGCACACCCTACGGCCGGAGAAGGCGCCCAGGTTCGTGTACGCCTGGCTCGACATCGTCTCGCACCGGGTGTTCATCGGACGGATGCTGGGGGTCACGCCGAAGCACAAGGGCTGGGGGCCGTACGCGCAGCTGCTGATCGACCTCTTCAACGTCCTGCCGCCGTTCCTGCGCAACGCCTAGCTGGCCAAGTCCATCACCATCCTGCACATAGGCTGCCTGCGCGTGCTGCTGGTGCTGCTGCACGATTTCCCCGAGTTCCTCTGAGACTACCACTACAACTTCTGCGACGTCATCCCGCCGACCTGTATCCAGGTGCGCAACCTGGTGCTGTCGGCCTTCCCGCGGAACATGCCGCCGCCGGACCCGCTCACCAGCAGGCTGCAAGTGGACATGATCCCCAAGATCCGCGAGGCCCCATGATCCAGACCAACTTCGTCTCGCTCATCCAGCTGCCTAGCTTAAAAAAAAACGAGCTGATCACGTACCTGAAGACGCGCACGCCGGTGACGTTCGTCACGGACCTGCGCTCCACGCTGGTGCTGCTGCAGGCGGCCGCCGAGCCCGGCTGCCGCTACAACATCCAGCTGATCAACGCGCTGGTGCTGTACGTGGGAACGCAGGCGATCACCGCCATCCAGAGCAAGGAGCTGCAGCCGAGCAAGCAGACCCGCACGCACAGTTCCCACATGGACATTTTCCAGAGCCTGGCTGTTGATGTTGACACCGAGGGCCGGTACCTGTTCCTGAATGCCATCGCCAACCAGCCACGCTATCCAAACAGCCACACCAACTACTTCTCGACGCTGCGCCGGCTCCTGGAGGGGTGGGGAGTTCATCATAAGATGTCGTCTCCCAGGTATCCACGCTCGAATGGACATGCCGAAGCCGCCGGGGAAACGGTAAAAAGATTGTGCCATGTCAGCCGGGGGCTGCCTGAATGACGAACAGCTCGATCGCGGTCTGCTCGAACTGCGCAGTGCACCGCGGGCCGACCATCGGTCGCCAGCACAGGTCCTCTCCAGCCACCTGCCGCGGTCAGGTCCGGTGCCCACGCGCCACCGTGCCTACGCCGCGGAAAGGCAGCGGGCAGCCGAGCAGTGCGATGAAAAATCCGCCGAGATTGCAGAGGACGTTCGACATTGACACGACCTGTAATCCCGCTCATTCGCAACCCTGCCGCTTGGCGGCAGAGTGGACGTTCAGAACGCCGATACTCGCCGCTGGGACCGCTCTGGCGTCACCGTCGGTATCGGCCGGCGGAGGTTCCACCTCATCAAGCCGCCGAGCGGGCGGATCTGGTGGCGAAACAGGCGGTCCCTGCGACCCCGCCGCCCACTGCTGGCGAGCCCCGGACCTCAGGGCACGTCGGGCGGCGCGGCCGCCGATGTGCCGCCGAGCACGCCAGGCGGCGCTGCCGCGGATATGCCACCGAGTCCGCCGTGCGGCGCTGTGCAGCCGGCCGCCGCCCAGGTGCCGCCTGCCCCACCTGCGGAGCCGCCGCTCCGCCGTGGCGTCCGCGATCGGTGCACTCCGCAGCGCCCTACCGTCCGCTAGGACGGTCAGACTTACTAGAGTCGTGTGTTCATTGCAGATTTCGTCGAGTTCACCTTCTTTCCGTGTGTTTAAAAGTGATGGCATAATCACTTACGGGAGGTGTTTGGTTTGGTGTCAACCTGGCCTGATTCATCCTGCTCTGAGAAATTGGTTTTGAGGAAAAAGGCTGACAGGAACATCCTCTGAGGAATTGGTGCCTAAGGAACAGTATGAAGTTCGTGCTGGAATGTGGACGGCACCGCCAGCTGACCATGCGAGATCCGAGGAGGGAGGACAAGAGGAATGAAGAGAGGTTCGGCACACTTCTCCAACGCAATGACATAGGTAAAATACCGAATTACGAGACGACCAGACGCCGCTTCCCCCCGCCTTCCCGCCCGGGCCCAATCCCAGCACAATGCCAAAGGAATGAACGGGCTGTCTAATTTTGTCCGCACTAGAAACGATCTTTAAGAGAGTGCCGTGCCGGGTGAAGTACTGTGAGGGTTGATGTGCCCTGCCGTGCCGGTGCCATGCCGGTACGTGCCATTCGACCTTACAAAGACTGAAGCTGCAAACCTCCGCTTCAGGTGCACGATCAGTACTGAAAGTGAGCAGCACGGTAGAAGATACTTTTTGGCTGCAGAAGACGCCGATGCCCGCCGCCTCGCTGCCAGCGTTCTCGCCAGGCTCGCCGGCGGCGAGATGGCGGCGGCTCCACTCGGTGCAGCGCTCGTAGCCGACGCCGTTGCTGCCAGCGAGCAGCTCGGACGTCGTGCGCTAGCCCGAGCTGGTGAGCGCACTGCTCTCGCTGTGCGCCGCCTGGTAGCGCGCTGTCAGCGTCGTCAGCGCCCGTGACGCCCGCCCAGCACAGCCCCTCCCCACGTGAGCCGTCAGGGGCGTCTGCTCGGCGGTTGGGGTCCACGAGACCATATGGCAGCGCTGCTCATCAGTCCCCCATGGACCATTTAGTGATAGAGCCGAGTGGCTGATGGGCGGCTCCACCACACAATGACTACACAGCCATCGCCATTGGGGAGCTGATGGACTGCCAGTCCCAGTCCTCAAACAGTAGGAGGAGCTGTAAGGTTCCACTGAACCCCTTGTCTAAATTACTTTTCATTGGAGTCCCTTGGGTGTCCAATGTCTCATTTTGACCCAATAGAGCTTCTGACTGCTACCACACACTGCCCCTGAGTGAAATGTGTCACCTGCCTGGAAGATAATGGATTAGATGAAAGGCATCTGGACCCAATGGCTAACGACATCCCTGAGATGAATGCAATAGTTTCTCAAGAGGCATCCAATGCCTGTATTTATCATCTTGCCTTACCAGTGACAAAAATGAAATATGTACTGCATCAGTAGCAGATGCATTCAGGACACATTGTATGCATTTGTTGTTACATTATTTCTCAGCATTCACATGACACACACCTGTCACAAATTCACTCTGACATAATCTATGCACATCAGACAGAGATCCACAGCAGAAATGTGCATGGGTGCCTGATACTTCAGTAATGCAGCCATTCAAGCCAACTGATCACTACTCTGGACTAATGGGGCTGTTGTCTTTCACAACAGGTGCAGCAGTATGCACAGTAGCTTTGAGTTCCTTTTCTTTCTTGTCTTCATCAATGACATACTTGAACAGATCAGTCAAGTTTTCAAAGTCTACCTTGGAAGTAGGTGGATCACTCCGGGGCACCTTTGGAAGGATATGGCCCATTTTCTGTCGAAATTCTTCAAAATTGCTTGCACCACTTAGCTTCCATATGGCACAACAAAACAAAGTAAAACCCCCTACAGAATACAGTGTTGCTCTTCCCAAGGCTCTCACTGCCAGGGAGCTTCCAGACTCATACAGTCTTTGTGCACTCTTGGTATCCACTGGTTCAGGCACAAGGCCCTTGCCAAAATATGTTGGATCTGACTTTTTGGATGCAGCAAGTGTTGTACCAAAGCCAACCAACATGGACATCCCAGTCAATCCTGTGAAAAATGCTACCTCTGGCCAGTGAGATCGCAGCCAACCATGTTTATCTGGCTCAGCACCTGGTCCTGTACCTGCACCACCATGCTGCTGGCTGATACC